GTTCTTCGGATCCATTAAGAGCCTTGCAGTAATCTGCTTGGCCTATACATTCCGCAAGCTATCCACAAGCACTTCGCCGTCCCGGACGATCTCATCATTCTGTCTCCCTGGCCTTGTACTGGCCCTGCAAAGGTGCGCGCTTCTTCGACGTCACTCATTTCTCCGGAAATCTGCAAGACGCTGCATGTGCATGTTGTTTCTTGGAAAGCTGAACTTTGGCTTTTCGGGCTGGCGTTTACCAAACCTGGCCATCTGGGACCTGCCTAGCATCATGGCACACGTTTGCATATTGCTGATGTCAGGTGCTGCACCATGTTTGACAACTGCACGACCTCGTGGCGAGTCATTTACAAAGTTAGGACCCGAAGTCATATGTGAGCTGCAAAATTGGAACACACTGACACTGAGCATAAAGGGAGCGCGAACTTGGTTTCCAATCCAATCATCTACACACTGTGTCAAGCTACTGATTTTCATGACGCAGTGAGCATTGCGGCATGACACACAATGAATCAGAAACACGATGACTATGATGCATCGTACTTGCGCTTTAGCTGACCTCATGTCATCCGTCGCCCAGCATGTCCAATGCACATTCCACCAGTACCGCACCAAACCCTGCTAGCATGAACTCAACCTGTACTCAAGACCACGCAGTGAATGGACGATACACAACTCCCGCAAACGAGAAAGGCTTCCATGTGGAAACTTGGAGCCCACCTCTTCCAGTATGATTTCGCCGTCCATGCCAGAAGGTGCCACTGCCGCCATGCCCAGGGCCGTGGCTGGCGGGCCCGAGGGGCCCGGAGGACCCGCGCCCGGAGGACCCGCAGGACCCGGGCCCGGCTGCCATTGAGTCTGATAGCCATACGCATTTGGGTCATGGGCCTGGTAGGTCTGGTTCTGGTAGTCCTGGTACTGGTAGCTCTGGTTCGCGTTCGGATTTTGAGTGTCATAGGGCCCTCCTTGAATGTGCTGGTTGTCCCTCAAGTATTCGGCAGCCTCCTCGCGACCCTTCTGCTTTGCTTCTTGCCTGGCACACTCGCAATCAGTCTTGAGCAATCTTGAGCATTCGAGGAAATGCGCCTCAGCTGGCACAAAATGCCGGCCCCTGCTATTTGCCCCAAATGGAATCCCACAAGGAACCAGTGCAGCTGCTCACTGTGGCAAAATCAGTGACTGAACAACTTGCCAACAAGCTGATGTTAATGTCACTGACAAGGAGGATCCCACATTGGTTGATTTAGTTTATTGATACGGAAGTTAGTGATATCATGCAATAATGACACCAAGACTCTCAAACAATGGTGTCTTTGCAAGGGAGTTGCTCTCAGCAGGTGGAAGTGGGAAGTGTGGAAAGGAGGAAGCATTGTGGGTTGATATGCCAGCCACTGTGCCCATCACGTTGCCGTATTTGTGGGCTTCAACACCTACCGAAAATTGACGAATGGTTGGCCGCGTCGCAAACGAGCCAAGGTTCTGGCCAGTCGCCTCGAAATGTAGCTCTCCACAGAATGAGTCATCAAGCGAATTCAAAAGACATCAGACACGCCCTCGTGTCGGTTCTGCAGCAGCCGCGCTCCCTTGCCACCTTGCTCCCTTGCTCCCTTCCTTCGTTCCTTCCTTCCTTCCGTCCTTCCTTGCTTCCTTGCTTCCTTGCTTCCTTGCTTCCTTGCTTTTGCGAGACGTCTTCATATTTTCATCTGTCCACATGGGTCCAATAATCTCACGCGGCTTCCGAATCCAAGCCTCTTCTTATCCATCTCCTTTCGGTGCTTTTGGTATCGTTTCCACGACTTCCTGGCATCGCATGCACAACTCCGGATGAAAGAACAGCCACCGCAGGCTGGAGATGCAAGCAACGTATTCACAAATGGCAAAGTGCGCGCCTGATCCATACGCCATATTTCTTTGGATAGAGGTGCGCTAAATAAGCATATCCACCGCAGATGGTTGCTATAGCCAACAGAACGCCAAAGGTCGTGGCGACTACACCATAGCCTTGGAACTCAATCAGTGAAAGGAAGCAAACATGAGCAGTCTCCATTTGCCGGACCAGGCAGTCTTCAATTTGCAGCTACAGCGGCAATCCCACCAGGTTTTGCCAGGCTCAGCTTGCCCGTTGACACGGCGCAAATTTGCATGGTTCATGCGCGTGGTCAGGTGGATCAGGTTCTGCTTCTCGCCTTCGTCCTTCGAAACTTGAAAATTCAGTCGGGCCATCCAAAAACCAAAACTGTTTCATGTTTCTCATGGCAAACCCACACTCGGTCCATAAAGTCGACGAAGACGGCCTGGACTAGATGACCGCGGTCCAAGACCAGCTGATGCGTTCGTTCCAAGGGTGACTGATATCCTCGACACCCGCAGGGGGTGTCGGGGCACTCCTTGTCAAGAAAGAACTCATATGGGCTGTCATCATCCTGGCGGTGCGCAGTAGGCACAAACGAATTCGCCAGTAACTTCTGCCGCTCCTGCAGCATCACGCTGTTCAGTTTCTTTGCTATGTCGTATACACCTCAGCGCGCGGCCCAAGCCTCACCAATGCCAGATGAGCATGTGAGGGCTTCACTGACGTCAGCCAACTCCCTCATCTACCCGTTTTTGAGTGGGGTCGGGGGGGTGGGTGGGTAAGGTCGTGTTCGCTGGTTGGCCCGCTGCATGCGTTTGTTCGTTCCCGTCCAGGTGCCCGATTCATGGAGGCACACTGGTTCCGATTTGACGGCTTCGGTCCCTGGCAAAGTGCGTCCTCACATCAGCCCAGGTGGGGCTGGATGTCGGCCCCAAAAGGCAAGCCCGCGAGGGAAAGTGTTTCCTTTTACTTCAGACGCCACCAAGATTTGCCTCCTGAAAACTAGCGTGGAAATCCTAAAGGAGATTTCTCTTGACGTTGGTGTAGCCAGTCTGGGCACAGATGCTACCCAATGACCGGTTCATCACGTATAGAAACACGCTGAGAACTGGAGTTGCACGATAAGAAATGGAGTTTGCACATGCGTATGTCTTCCCTTGACAGGATGATTCATCAAGCTTGTCCAAACAGGTGGTAGGCTCGTAGTAGTTCAGAACAAGTTGCCTATTAAATGATCCAAGTTCATAAACAGTTTCCACAAATTGCGAGTGAATTTTCAGTCGGCCGTGCCAAAAGCATGGATGAAGCAGATTGAATCGCTCCCAATCTCACGCGCTCTTCCCCCCCTGTTGGTTTGCTTCCTTGTTTCTGGTAGAGATGAAACACCTAGGGCGCATCACAGCAAGCGCTTATTGAAAAGCACATGCATGCGCAAACGCGTTCTTCGGGACAGAAGATAGTTTGTCTAAACCTGCAGGGGGAACGCAAGCAAGCAAGAACAACTTTCTTTTAAACAGCGTCTCCGGCCCAGACGCTAGACCGGCAACAAGGAAGCATGGAATAGCAACACTCCTTCAATGCCAAGCATCCCACAGACGAAATTCACTGAAAGTCTGCCGACGGAACGTAGATTAACCTCGTGTTGAGACTTGACAGGCGGGAGCTTCAAATCATGTAGAGGGGGAGGCTTTGCTTTTGGGTTGGCCCTGTTGACGCTAGATTGGTTAGGTTAGCGGAGAATATAGCCTTAGGACAACCTCCCGTTCTGAATGATTTCAATCCCACAGGCATCCTAGGCGTGGCGTTTCTACCAGACTAGATGGCTCACTGACAAAGGAAAAGCGCGCGTACAACACTACCCTCTTTGATCCGCTTGGTACACGCTTGGCGTTGTCACTCGCTTGCCTTCCGAACGTTGAGCTGTGAGCAAACAGGCGTCTGTTTGTGGTGGTTTGGATAGCTTGCCTTGGCCCCCTGCGGCGCGACCCCCTCACGCCCCTTCAAATTCTTCCCAAATCCTCTTGCTTGATCCATGCTCCCGGTCCCCAGTTCGGGCTGGGGGGTTGGGGGGGCTTGGCCCCAGTCCACTGCCCGGTTGGCAGGCCCAGCTTGGCCCACCCCCTTGCCTACGAGATCCTACGAGAGCTGCAGTCTAGCCCTTGTGGACGTGGGCACACGCGCGAACATGTGCCCACCATAAATCATAGCTCACGGATTTCGGTGCCGACTCACTAACCAAAAAACAAAACACAGGCAAGCCAAAACACAGTACCTCAAAGCCAACCAAAAGAATACTGCAGCGCAAAGAGTTTACAATTAATAAGGAAAATGTTTGACTCACTACTACCTATATACAAACTCCAACTCTCGACATGCAACTCCACTTCTCAACATTGTGGCTTAAGTCTTGCACGCGCATGGTTGAAGAAGCCCTGGTGGCATCCCCCCAAAACCGTTCCGCTCCGAACCTTAGGAGAAACCCAATCTGGCCAAAGCTTTCAGTCGTTGGGAAACAAGAAAAACGGAACCTTTTTTAGTTGGTAATTTGAGGGTCCATTTGTTCACCCAGACTGGATGCGTTCTCCGCTTGCTTCTCGTAACCAAGCTGAAACAGGTTACCTGGACCGGAAGAAACTACCAAGCAAATTGGACATCACGGGGTCGCCATTCAAATATTCGCACCCTTAAATAGGGTCACAAGGGGTTTATACTACCCCCGCCAGGGTTGCCGATGGCCCGGCCAACCAATTTAAACATCCGACTTACATATACTTTATCATCCGGAAATGTTCGGGCTGGAAGCTGGGGAGCTGTGGAGCTGGAGGGCTGGAGGGCTGGAGGGCAAGGCGAAAAGGCTTGGAGGCCAGCACGAACCACCTGGATGAAGTTTTATGTCCTGTCGGGGAGAAAGGGTATGATTTTGCACATCTTTTGATATGTTGCTGCGCCTAAAGAATTTGTGATACAGACCAGAGGCTTGCGTGCGTGTTTCGCATCTTGGGATGTTCCAGAGGCTCGCTGTTGATTCTGTTGCGTCGGGCACTTTTTGGAGCCGCGAGATCAAAACGCTTCCTTTAGGCAACGGGTTTGAAGCTGGTTGGCTTGTGGGCTGGCTAGATGCGGAGGCTGGGGCTTCGGTCAGATCAACCTTCCCCCCGGCCTCAGCGCAAGGGACGTGGGGGGGGGGGGGGGATTTTATACGTAGGGGGGGTCATTATTTTTTTTTATTCTGTGACCTGCAACGCAGACAGCCGCGTCACCCGGCACACTGCCTCCTTCGCTGGGACCCGGCGCACTCAATTGCGGGGCCGGACATGCCGCAACCGTCACCCGGCGTGCCAGGTCCATCGCCGGACCTGTCACCCGGCACACTCAACCGCGGCTCGCCAGGTCCTGCGCTGCGGGCATGCTCAATGGTGGACCTGGTGCGCCGGGCCCTATTGAAGCGGCACACACACACAATTGCGGGACCGGGCACGCCGGGGTCTACGTGACCCGGCGCTCTCAGATGCGTGGCACGGCGCCCCGGGCCGTCCGCTGCGTGAGCCCAATTTGAATATTTTAGCCAGCAGCGTTCAGCAAGGTTCGGGCGCGACTGACGCACACTAAATCAAGTTGAAGCACGTTGGCGCCGGCCAGTGTTTGACGTTCTTTGAAGCGTTTCAGCCAAGTGACCTGAAGCCTTCTTTTTCGCCCGCCAAAAGCAGGTTCCAGGACACTTGCAAAAACCCAAGGTAGAAGCATTGAGAAGCACTGAGCTGACTGACCATGCGCCTGCGGCACATGCGCCTGCAGCACATCTCTCTTTCATAGGATCTCCGGCAGCAGCTTGTTTAGAGCGCAGTGACGCCTTGTACGTCTCAAGTAGTTTGGCTGCTCCGCGAGTTGATAAACAAGGAGGTGGGCCAGCTCGTCGCCCTCTGCGTGGTCCATCCTTGGGGCTGCGCGCCCTACATACTGCCTGCCTTCTTCTTTCTCACTAATTTGCTTTTCTTGCCACGACGCGTGCAGATTTCTGGTGGTTTCATTGCTTTCGAGACACTCCTTCTAAATGTGCGAATTCACCCAATATTTGGCGCTGCTATGCGCAACCACACGTCTCACGATCTGCATCTGCCGAACTGTTGGCGTTACAACCAACTGAGACGGAGCGCACCTAGCAGTGGCCGGAGCGCCCAGAGCGCAGAGTGGCATCATCTCCAGCATGGAGCGCGGCCCGAGCCCAGCGAGCTGGAAGCATGCAGGGCGGTGTGCTTGGGGCGGCGGAGGTAGGGCTCGGGGCGCGCAGCCAGCGCCGAAGGTTGATTTTAAGCCCAAAGACGTGTTATTTTATTGACGTACCCCCCCTCCTCAATTATATTTCTAAGGTAGGGAGGATGATCAACCCATGCATAATCTGTCAGGCGTGGCACAAGAGGTATCTGTTTCGCCTAGTAGTGCCACCGCCTTCGAAGTCTTGCAAAGGACATCGTCACAAGCATTTATAGGACCGAAGTCTGGAATCCTCAGCTCTAAAACTCAAGCTCAGTGCCACAACCTGAGCGCTAAGATAGTCCGGCGGCTAAATCCAAACTCTCCGCAGTTCACAACCACAAGGATACATCTAAGGCTCCAGCAAAGTTCTCTCTCTCATGCAAACACACTTGAATCCAGCTCTTGCCAAAGGCTCTTCATCGCTGAAAGCACTTGCCAGGCAAGCAGAACGTTTTCTCCTTCGGGCTTCTCTCCGGTGGCATACTTGTCAAAGTCTTGCATCACGGACTCCACAGAGTTTCCCGAATTGTGGCCACCGTAGGAGCTAGTCAGCCTCAGCGCAAGGCAGTGCGGCACATAACATGCGAAACTTGTTAGCTCTGCCTAGGCATGCCTTCATTGTGTTTCTGCAATTGGGCTGTTCGTTCACTGAGCAATCGTATGCTTTGCAAAGCGTGTTGTGTTTTGTGCCTAAGAAAGCCTTGGACACTACTTGATTTGAGCATACGGCTATAACTCACGTCAATTGAAGCCATGGCTCACAGATCTCCAGGAGTCCATGTAACCAATGAGGCGTATATTTCTTTTTATGAGCTCGCCCATGGTCAATTCATCCTTTGGACGACCTGTCGGCGCAAGACGAACATGCCCAACCCTCGGGCATAGGTCGATTGAGCCCACTACGGCATGTTGCTAGTGCGTTGCAAAATATTTGAGTACGCGATGTCTTGCTTCAAGAGGACAAAGGGAAACTGGGGCTCGGTGGTCTTCAATGGAGAATGTGGGTGGGCCCCCTGTCCTCTCCAAACTAACAACAGACTACCAATAAGTGTGCCAGTCCTCCATTTGACTCCAAGGAAATCGCATTCGACATTCTCTGGAAAGCATGGCATGGAAACCAACCAATCCATTCCTCCACCTGCAAGGGCAGCCTTTGAGTCGTCACAGCAACACAATCAACTCTGGCAACAAGTGCTGGGAGCTGAGTTGTATCAAATTCCTTCATTTGGGCACCAGCCGAATCGCAACTTTCGACACATCCGGTGAAATTGCCGCCTCTCAACTCTATGGCCCGGAGCCCGCCTGAAAGGATGGCACAGGTGAGTGTGGAGTGAAATGTCAGGCTGGAGAGCTCGGTTGAAGCGGTGATAGACACGCACGGGTTTCCAGTCGCCTGCGCCTAAGAAAGCTGGCCAGGAATCGTTCAGTGCAGAAAAGCCTGCTAAACATGCTATTGCCAAGATACAAAGAGATTCATCCATATGGTGTTCCCAGGTGTTCCAGATTTGTAATACATGTTGTCTGGCGCCAGTGCCACAAGCTCGGTGGTACGTACAGAGAGCCACTCGGCAAAGACCGTCATGGAGGCTTTGAAGCCCTCGCTTCTCCATCCCATTGTGTGCTCGTCTGCACCTGAACCTGAGTGACAGTCGTAGAAAGTGTTTGCCTCCCCACTTTCGCGAGTGCACACATCGATCATGAAGAAGCGAGCGCCATAGTCAAGCTGTTGTAGATACGTCCTGAGCTCAATGTACAAGACGTGTGAAGGACGCGAATATGAGATGCCTACTTTTGGCGAGGCGCATTCTGTGATTCTCGAAGTAGCACTTCATTACATTGTCTTCCTTGACTCCAGGGATCTCAACCTGGCAACCACGCAGCAGCAATGGCGTCAAGTCACTTCCTCAACAGCACACACACGGCTCCCCACCTTGATCAGGTCGGGCATGATGAGGTCGTAGGAGCCTGCATTGTGCGAGCCAGGGAAGGTATACTTCGTGTACGGCAGCCTGGGCTTCTGAAGGGTTCAGCCCAACAACGCAAAAGCTTTGCACGCTCAACCCCGACTTTTGAACTTGTGTCCATGTTCAAAGCCTCCGATAATTGAACATAAATAATTCATAATAATTCTAATGCAACACATGCAGCGCACAGAAGGAGTCGTCACCATTGCACGCAAAGGCAGCATGGACCAGTGAAAGCCCAAGGACAGCGCGCATGGCAGGCGTCTTTCACACCCCAAGAGTTCTACGAATTCCAGGAATGTGAGACTTGAGCTTTGGGTGTCGCTTGACTCATCACCTTTTGAGCCAACTGCGACTAAGCTGGCATAGCTTTGCCCAACTTGCCGACCTCTTTCCCGACTCAAAAACTTCGGAGCTGGCCGCACTGGGCTCCAAGCCCATCATTTCCGCATACTGCGTTGCCTCAAAGCATGGAACAATCTCATTGATGCCGCAGTCTCGTAAGCTTGGCCCGACATGGACGCCCCCAAATGCGCCTTGTGTGCCAAATGCAAATCTCAGGCTGCAACCTCGTTTCGCTCTCCAGGCACCTGGAGACCGTTCACGTAGCAGAACACCTGAAGTGAGTCCGCGACGTTCCACTTTGATCTTATTTCGAAGCCTTGTGGTAACTGCCAAGCGCGCCCCGAAAGTTCTGCTCCTGCGACAATCCGATCCGGATCTGACACAGTGGCACCAGTGGCGCAGGGCCTTGAAGCGCTTGTTGCCCTCTTGCTTGAAGGCCTCTGCCTCCGAATTGCCCATGCAGCCGAATTGCCGAACTGAGCCGGAGCCTGTGCGATCTGCGCCCTCGCATCCGCCATGCCTGCGCGCAAAGTAGATGTCCAATTCGCAGCAAGTCCCAACTGGAAAGGTCTTCCTCACACCTGATATGACGTTTGGAATCAAGCAATCTTCTCGTATATTTAACCCTTGTAGCCTGCACGGCGATTCAACCTGCCCTAAGCGCACTTGTTGCATCGAATCAATCAGGAATGTGGCACGTTGGAAGCGGACAGCGCTGTGCCACGTGACTGGCCAGGCCAGACTCTCTTGTTGGATGCCTCGCATGCTTAGCATGCGCCAATCCAAAGGGTCCTGCGAAATTCCAATTTCTGCACAAGCACAGAAGTGTCAGACAAGTCTGACCGCTGGAAAGTGAATAGTGCTGAAGCTGCACGGCAATTCAGCGGCAGTCAATCGGGTTTGCTTCCGCATGCCGAATCAGGGACACAGTGGTTGACATCAGCTTAGCTGAGTGGCAGCCAAAAAAGCATTGTCCGGGTGAGGAGCTACTGCAAACTATGAAATCTATGTGAACTTGCACAAACTGTCTTTGATAACAGGTGGATTCAGCATGACCCTCAAACTCCGGTATTCATTAAACACGGTGAGACGTCCTTGCCAATTGTTTCTGGGGCCTCTCGCAGGATACCCATCTACATGCTTTGCATGTGTCTCCCCGCCAGCCCAAAAGCCAAACTGCTAGTGAGCCTATTGAATCAGACTCATGTCACCGACTTGCCGCAGCAAGTGGCTCATCTTCAAGCCTTCCAAGGCCAAAGAGAAACAGCGAAACGTTTCGCCGTCTCGTTTTTCTCTGGGGCTCCAGCGGAGCGAAATAACGTCGGATTTGGTGATGGGCCCTCGCAGCTTCATGAGCCCATCCACCAGCCTAACACATTCGGCCGACAGATTTCCCTAATAGACAGATTCGTTCCATTGAACCGAGGGACTCATTGAAGTGCAAGCGCCCGCCCAGATCAGCATCTAGGACATCAAAGAGGTCCTAAGATAGGCAGACAAGGGGTTCCCAACATCGGCCCACGTGCCAACTCTATTTTGCGGGTTCCGAATGAGGGTCACATGATCGGGAGCTTGAAGCCCAGCAAAACAGACCGAGATATTCAACCATTGTTGGCATTCTGTATGGCCAGTGGTTGATGGTTTTTGTGTGAATGGACAAAAGGCTCCCATCCCTCGGGTCAAATATTGAGCTTCTGTTGCATTCTGCCCTGTCTGCCAAGACGCATATTTGGTGGCTGTCCTGAGTGGGTCTGGAAAGAAAGTTTCATTAGTACAAGGAACTGAAGGCTGCGGAAACACACAAATGGTAGCTCCTCTTGACGAATGCTTTCAGTTGCAAAAGGCCAAGATTCTCGATCTTGCATTGGACCAACATGTCCGTCATCTCCTTAGCAAATAAGCATCAAATCGCAGATCTCGGCAGAACATGCAGGTGTGAGTGTTTGGCGCAAATGAACTTCGGGGAGACTGATCTACACACTCAAGTCCTGCTGTTTCTGTCCCAAATTTAGGCACCCATGATGCACACTGTGCATACCGCAGTTAAATGAAGGGCAATATCGATTTCCCCCACATCCTGTTGCCTAGAGCGGCTCTGCTTCATCAGCAAGCGAAGATCAAACCACCTCACCTTCAACATGCCGGCTCAAGCAAGCGCTCAAGTGAGATGCCAATATCCACCATCACATCATCTCTGGATCAACATGTTATCTTGCAAACAGGAGCCATCCTATCACTATACTGCTGGTCCACAATGAGAGCAGGTCGCACCGCACGCATGCAAACACACTCTCAAAAACTGTCGCAACCAAATGGGTTGGCGAAGCTACACCTGCTCATCTTAGAGACACATTGCACATCTACAGTTCACACCGATTGAATGCAACTGGCCGCTTGAAGTCGGCGATGGCTGGGCGCGGAATCGGAGCCTGAAAACACCTGTTTTGAGAATCGGAGCTTTGACTCTGAGCGGCGGGGTAGTCCAGCCATCGATTGAAGTCCTCTCTGGCAACAGCCACCTGCAGCTAAATTACGCATGGGTTTCGCACTAGAAACTTGTATGGTGGTGTGTCAAGACTGAGGATGTTGTTCGGGGAGGACGCTGAATTCCGAGAACAAACAGCCCGCGTTGTCTAAGCTAGCTGGTGGAAGTTCAAGATTGTCGATAACCAATATTTCAAACGGCTGGAGTTTGAACAGCGTGGTTCGAACAGTTTGGTACTCAGTGAGTCGGCTTGTTGATGACGATATGCCCTGCTTCGGGCAATTGGTTGCACACAGAGCCGGGCGAGCTGATCAAATCTGATTTCGGTTAAATGAGGATGGTTGCGTGCATGGTGGATCAGTGTCAAATGCGAATGCACCCCGCCTCCGAGTTCATCTCGCGATGCACCATTGACCTCCTTCCCAACTGATTCCAAGCCTTCTTTCTCCTTGCATACTCAAGGCAATAAGCTGCCAAACAATTTGTCCAATAAGCTCTGATCAGTGGCTACAGTGACATTCTGGAAACTTGCCCAATATTTCCGCCTTGGTAGTACAGTACAATTGGCTGCCGAAATGATCAAAAGGAACAATGACATGCTGTCTGCGACAGCCGGCAAACTCAGGGAACAGTCCTGCAGCAAAGCCCACCTTGGCTTGCACACGCGGACAGCCACGAGAACACAGCGGTCGAAGAGCCTTCTGCAGTGCCAAGCAGCAGAACCATTGGCAAAAGTTCTTCGGCCTCGGCTCCCGCTTGCTTCAGTTTCCACCCACTGAGGGATGTGCTACACATATGTACGCTCGCCTCCCCAAAAAAGTCAAAGCTCCAGGTGGTGGGTACTGACGCACGCGCAATAGCTTCTATTTCGTCTCCGGCACTCCGGCTCCGGCCAGGCTCCGGCCAGGCTCCGGCCCGGCTCCGGCCCAGCTCCAGCTCCACTCCGGCTCCGGCTGGGCTCCGGGCGATGCTAAGCACGCCCCCACGCCCCCAGCGCTGCCAAATGATAAGGACTTGGGTTTAAGCGCATTCCCTCCGCGCTACACATGGCAAGCTTAGTTAGGCGCACCCGTTCCGGCGCACACGCCTGCCACATGACAAGCACTCCCGCTCAAGCGCGCTCGCTCCGCGCACAGGCTTGGTAAAACAGCGCGAAGTGATAAGAGCCCCTGCTCACGCGAACAAACGCGTTGTGTGTCTGTGTGTTTGTGTGTGTTTGTGTGTGTGTGTGTTTGTGTGTGTTTGTGTGTGTTTGTGTGTTTGTGTTTTTGTGTGTGTTTGTGTCTGTGTATGTTTGCATGTGTGTTTGTATGTGTGTTTATGTGTGTGTGTGTTTACGTGTGTGTGTGTGTGTTTATGTGTGTGTGTGTGTGTTTGTGTGTGTTTGTGTGTGTGTGTGTGTGTGTTTGTTTGTGTGTTTGTTTGTGTTTGTGTTTGTGTTTGTGTTTGTGTTTGTGTTTGTGTTTGTGGTGTTTGTGTTTGTGGTTTTTGTGTTTGTTTGTTTGCTTGTTTGTCTGTTTGTTTGTTCGTTTGCTTGTTTGATTGTTTGATTGTTTGATTGTTTGTTTGTTTGTTTGTTTGTTTGTTTGTTTGTTTGTGTGTGTGTTTGTGTGTGTGTTTGTGTGTGTGTTTTGTGTGTGTGCTTGTGTGTGTTTGTGTGTATTTGTGTGCGTGTATTTGTGTGCGTGTGTTTGTGTGTTCGTGTTTGTGTGTGTGTTTGTGTGTGTGTTTGTGTGCGTGTTTGTGTTTGTGTGTGTGTGTGTTTGTGTGTGTGTGTGTTTGTGTGTGCTTGTGTGTGTGTTTGTGTGTGTGCTTGTGTGTGTGTGTGCTTGTGTGTGTGTTTGTGTGTGCTTGTGTGTGTGTGTGTTTGTGTGTTTGTTTGTGTGTGTTTGTGTGTGTGTGTGTGTGTGTTTGTTTGTGTGTGTGTGCTTGTGTGTGTGTTTGTGTGTGTTTGTGTGTGTGTGTGTTTGCGTGTTTGTGTGTGTTTGTGTGTGGTTGTGTGTTTGTGTTTCTGTGTGTGCGCTCGCTCAGCACCTGCGCAGTTCAGTACTGCGCAGACGCCGGTGCTTACGCGCAGTCGCTCAGCGCCACACACGCGCGCGCTCCCGCCAAACTGATTACCTGCTCAGCGCTGCGCGCACTCCTCCCCAACGATAAAATACCTGCGCAATTGCACTCTCTCACTCAGCCCTGCTCACGCGCGCTCGCTAAATGATAAGAACCCCTGCTCAATCACAGTCGCTGAGCATTGTGGTTGCGTTTGCCGTATGACAAGAGCCCCTACACAAGCGCGCGTGCGCTTGCCCTGTGCCCACGCCAGCCGAATGATGAGAGCTCTCGCTCGTGTGCCCTGACTCAGCACTGCGCCCAGACCCGCTTGTTCAAGGCCTGGTCCCGGGGCTCAGCGCTACGCGCACGCCTACCAAAAAACGCAAGGTTGCAAAGGCGACCTCATTCATCGCTATCATCGCTATCACTGCGCGCACGTGCGCCAATGGAAAGCGCCCGTGCTCAATTGCACTCGCTCAGCCCCAGCCCGAGAACGCTTGCCAAATGACAAGAACCCCTGCTCCGCGCGCGCTCAGCGCTGCGCCCATGCCCGGCACGTGTCGAAACCCTGGCAGGCGCGCTTGCTCATTCCTGCACACACCTTTCAAGCGTCTGAGGCCAGCCTCTGCTCAGCCTCTACTCACGCGTTTTGTTCTCTCGGAACTGCGCCTACCCGCCCTCAATCACGCTCGCTGAGCGTTGTGCCCACGCCTGCCGTATGATAGATCCCCGGCTCAAGTGCGCTTGCTCTGCGCCCACGCCTGGCGAAAGATAGGACCGCTCGCGGCGCCCTTGCTCAGCACTGTGCCGGCGCGGTTGCACATGATGAGAACCCGCTCAAGTGCACTCGCTCAGCGCGACACACGCCTGCCAAATGACAAGGGCTTGATCAGAGCCTGCCAAATGAAAAGATTGGATGATCCTTGTGGCCCGCACTCAGAGTCGAGAGGGCGGGCATCCACTGGGATTTGTCGTATTTATCTTGCTGCCCAGTGTCTCCTGCCTTCCCGACCCCTCCATTAGACACCCTGGAAATGGTTGGGGGTCTCAGAACAAGGTTGTTTGAAGGCACTAAATACTGCGCTCCATGACTCACACTTTTGCTTTCGAGCCAACGACGACTGCACGCTGGGCTGGGCCCGAGGCGAGCAACGCGCTTACAATTATGTGTGGATATGTATAGACATCTTGTTTTGTATGCGCCCTCCTATATATATATAATATATATATATATACACATTATTCAGAATGCACACCACATGCAAGCTCTCGTCTCTGGCCAAGTGATCAAAGGCAGCTCACGCCAATAGTTGAAAAGGCCGGAAAAGTCACTGTGTGCCCAGGACCCAGCGAGCCAATGCCAAGCTGCTTGTCCTTCTCGAGGTTCACTCGCCCACCACATGACAAAGTTGCAATGACATACCTCATCAGCGCAGCACACACACACACAAACACACGCGGCATTGGCTCCACTCTCCAGCCGAGTGGCGAAATATGCTCTTCCATCCTGAGCTACAGCATGCTTGAGGCAGTCAATCATGCAAATCCACTGCTCAAACATGATGCCAACAACAGGTGCCAGCGAACATGGCGTGGACCTGGTCGGCGTGACGCAAGTTACTCGTGCACTTCTTCACCAATCGAGCGACTCCTCAGATCTGTAGCCCAGCTCTTGCAATTCTCGCGCCACGTGGTCATTCAGCACGGAGTCCAAGAACCTCAAGCTTCCGCGACCACTTACGGACCTTCGGCTCGCGCCCGCCCTGCATTCCCTGCTCGGCAATGTCACTCGGCTTTGGCCATGCAACACGGCCATGATCAGGTTGAAAATTCCAATGACGACGAAAAGGAAAAGCACCATGTAGACCAGCATAAAGACCTGAATGCTGTGCTGTAGGATGTCGCAATGTCGCCAACACGATTTGGACCACTTTGAGGACGCCAAAGGCAGACCAACAAGAAACCTAACATTTGCAAGGACTAACTCGTGTTTCCTGCGCAGTGCCGGGCACAAGTGCAAGTTTGCAGCTTGCAAGCTGGGCAAATTGAACGCTTCAGCAAACAGAAAGGAGATATGCGGACTTGAAATGCAGCTGCGCGGACTGCGCCATGCTTGGCACGCAAGTGCTCGTGCAGCGGGTTGCCATTTGCAGAGCTGCAGCCGTCCGTGACGCAGCCTGAAATCAAATTAATCAAAGCAAACTCAGAAAAAGCCGGGCCTCTTGAGCGCAGCGAAGTGTTTCCACTAGGACCGGTCGTCTCCACAAAATGTGCGTTCTGTGTCCGGCTCCTTTTATGGTGCAGATCAACTCCCTGCACACTGAGTTTCCCTGGCATTGTGATGTCTTCCGCCTCAACTGGAAATGGCACGACGAGCAGCGGAATGTGGTCATCATAGCGGCCGTGACGGTGGAGAATTCAGGCTCCTTCGGCAAGGGCTAAGCGTCCTTTGGAATTCCAACAGGTTAGTTACAAGTTGTTAGGTCCTTCGGGACAATGGGTAAACTTGCAAGCTTGCCCAGCCAAGGAATGGTGACTCGGCTAGTAAATGACAAACTAAAGTCGCCTCTCCAATGACCATTCGCGCCGAAACGCCCACCACGTAGACCTCAGAGTCCAAGCGGAAACCAAAGCTGGGAGGGCCAAGAGAAAAGCCAATGCCAAGGCACAGTGAAGAAAAGAAGTACCTGAGCTTGGCGAATGCCAGACACCGCATGCACGTAGCGCACGGCCTAGCTCTGAGGTTTTATAACCTTCGTTTCGCGTTGCGAAGTCCACGTTGCTTTGCCAAGGTACAATGGCCCAGAAGAGCACTCGCACGCCTCAGGTGGGCTGTTCAATTATTCAGTTTCACAGGTCCGAGATGTGGGCACTCCAAATCGAGAGAAAAACATGTGCGAGATGAGGTTTGGTTTGGGATTCACTGGGCTCAAAGAGAGATGGCCATGAATTCTATGCTCACTCTGCCCAAGCAGACCCCGCCTGACAAGACTCCCAGAATGATCACCTCAGATGGCAATGCGCGTGCAGTACAGCCTCAGGCTAAAGGCAGAATCACTAAAATTGAATACAATGCAAAAATAATGTATAATAAATAATTGAATCAGAATAACCTCGCAACTCTCCAGAGCTCTACATTTACGCTTCGATCCCTCCCAAACACGCACCGCACTAGCAATCTCTGCACCCTTTCTGCACCAGGCCACGCGTAGCTCACGAACCGCGCCAAAGCGCATGACACGTATGATCCTGGCACCGCAATTGGCAGCGACAGCTAAGGCTCTAGCTCCAACAATCCCTCGGTTCTTTTTACGTTGAGTGGCAAACGGAGCGGACAAAGGATGCCCTTTTGTACAGACAGCTTGCGATGTGTTACTTATTTTATCATTAATAAAAGAAAGAGAAAAAAAAGAAGAAAACAAACGAAAGTGAGGCCTGCAGACTCGCGCTAGTCGCAAGATCTTGATAAGCATGATTCCATCCTGACAACGTGTCACGCTCGTCGTGTTTGCCGCCCACATACATAAACACACTTCCAAACACACTTGTCCCCTGCTGTTGTCCTTTTGCCTCTGATCCTGTCGCTTGATGCAGACCAGTGGCAAGGCTCGAGTTGCTTTCGTCGTCTACCACCGCCCTGGCTTCAAGGGCACTCAAGTTGCTCTTGCACTCCAAGGATGCATACGATTCAAATGCAATTGCAATCCGTCACAAATCTCCAAAATTCTGCACTTAACCACCAAACTGTCTAGCGTCACTGAAAACCTGGAATTCTGCCAGCCGAGTGATCAGGTGCCCGCAATTCAACCACCAAGCAAGCCTCTCCATCGAGAGCGTCACCAGTATGTCCGTATATGCGCAGACCAGGCAGACAAGATCGAAATAGTTCCAGCCTCACGAGGATCCCACAACATGAGACCGGCTGAGCCTTTCAATCTTAGCTCATTCATTTAGCGAGGGCTTAAGGAGTTCAAGCATATGCAGCCTGCATCAGGGCCAGAAAAATAGGTTTTGCAGCCCGTCCATCGCATCCTGCAAGCTGGATTTCGCATGACACCATGGCTTAGTCGGAGTTCAAAGTGAAGCGACAAAAGAAACTCCCATCCTCAGCATCGCCTCACAGGTGAAAATCAAAGTGAAGAGCCACTCAAGAACCTGCAGGGCATGTTTGTCGGCATGGATGGCAAATGCGGCAAGTTGTCCAACATGGTGATACATGGTGCGAGCCGTTTGTGGAACGGACGGCCCTACGGCCCTTCGGCCCTTGCCTGCCAAATTGGGGCCTGAGACGGGGTGACATGATCATTGGCGTTCGTCAGATTTGTCACTCTCGACGAGAGGCATCAGGGTCATCATCGGCACCCCAGCCAATGACAACGGCATTGGCCAGGATCACAAAGGCCGGCCTTGACACGTATCATCCCGTATCGGAGCATGGCCCAGCTCAAATCCGCTCGCTCGGCTTTGCATGTCCCAGTCGCGCAATCTCCAGCAAGAATGTCTGAATGTCAATAGGCATATCCTGCAGGCAGTTGATGCTGCGAGTCAACACAATTTGAAACGCAAGTCATGTCCACAACTCAAGCGATTGAGCCTCAATCAACTGACCCTTGGAAGCAAATGAAATGAAGGCTCGGGGCTTGACTGTGATGCTTAACAGCCCCCTTTTGAGCTCGATAATTGTGAGAAGGCCGCATGTTGCTGGCTGAGACGACCACCCAACAAAGATAACAAAGCCATGCATTCAAGTCTGTGCAATACAACTCTTTCATTTTAGCTCCACGCCTCCATGCTGAACCTCCACCAGGACCTAGATTCTGCCTTCACTGGAGAAATGTTCTCAATGTTTGCCTCAGGTCCCGATCTTGCAAGCGAGATAGTCTCAAAGAGGCCATCAAAAGTCACCAGGCGAGATTGCGGTTTACCTCCCGCAGCTCTGTCAGGCCCTTGCCAAGGTGCTGCCTCCTCTTGAAGGACGGTTCGGAGACCCAACAGCCGCTCTTGACAAGGCTTCGGCAAGTCATTCAGCTCTCCCTGCCTCAGGCAAAGAGTGCTGCCATACTGCCATGTGTCCAAAGACTTGGAAAACCAAAGACCCTGGCTAGTGTCAATGCCTCCTTTTTTTCCCGCCAAGACAGATCATGAAATCACCCTAGGATCAAGTTGCGTGTTCGTGGGTTGGGAAACATATCGTCCAACAAAAAGCACGTGACACTAACATCAATACTGGAGCAATGTCGAGCCGTCCTTCATCAGCAAGCGTGTGACATGTCAAGGAAACTGATGCCCAAACTCCCAATTATGTACCCAGACTTGCTCGAAGAAAGTAGCCAAGTGAATCATACAAGGGACCATTCCCTTAAATGACATTTCACTTCAGGCCCGGAAAAAAAGGGGTCTTTTTCAATCCCGGCGGCATGCAATGCTAAACCAAACAGAAATTGAATTGCAATCACTCCTAGTGGCTCCATGCATTCAAGCGGCAGCTCCTTCATCTGCCAATGCTTGAATTCTCAAAACAAGTGCGTCCGTCTAGCCCGAAATCAATCACATGTACAGTATTACTTCAGTTACTCGTTCCTTGAACAACACGTCATTTCAAGGCCCCTAAACTAAAGTGTTTGAAATCCCCCTGGTCTCCACAATGCAACAAAAATACTAAAACAAATGGATCCTATGACCCAGCAATACTAATTCAAATGGAAACTATGGCTTAGCAATGCTAGGTCAAATGTTCATGGGCCTTCAGGGGGTTGATTGATGGGTAGATGCGAGGTGCGACGGCTGTTCATTAACCTGTGGACAAGTGGCACCAGTTGCGCAAAGCAGCCAAAGTTGATCTGTAGATTCTTCTGCTTTTCGCCGTTGGAGGTCGCCTGACCTAAGCAATGCGGTTTCGCTTGAGAAGATCTTCTGCTGGACACGTGCCCAGGTGATTCTTTGCTTTACAATTGCTACTGCACGCGACTCCCAGCCATGCCCACCATTCTGATACCTTGAAGCCACTCGGGAGTGCCGCCCCGTCAATGCGTCCTTCAAATACATGGGACTGGCTCTGCTCGGAACGAGCGTTGAAGATATTGACACGTTCTTGCAACACCGGAGGTGTTTAAAGCTCCCCTCACGTAAAACCTCTATGACCTCCAGAAACGAACTTCCACGCATTTCCGCGGGGTCTTGAATTCTGGTCATGACCTCCGTGTGGCGCCAAGCGCGCTGACCTCTCTCGGGAATTCTGCCAGGGTGCTCTTGGAAGAGGACAGCTGCCGCATTTGCTGGGCCTGCGTCTCTCACCGTCTCTTAGCCAACCCGTTTGGCCAGCCCCGAACCTGCACCGCGCGGATATCAGCCTAGGAAATGCGCCCGCCCGACTCGAGTCATTCTGAGCTCACGTCCCATCGCCTCCAAGGCAGCCAGGTCCAACTTCTCGTGCCGCTTCAACAAGCTTTGGAGCGCTTTCCAGGAGAGCTTTCCTCGCTTCTCTTCGCTCAAATAGCGAAACCAAGAGGTTTCCGGGGGCCGCGCCGGTGCGGCTGCCTGCCAAGCGCAGGTAGAGTTGCCGCATATCAGGTGCCTCGGAGTCACGGTCTCGTCCGGCTTCCGAGCTCTGAGCGCTTCCAAGGCACTACGAAGTAGGAAAGACTGGGGACTACAATGGACTCGCGGTCATCCTGACGCGCACGACCGCAACAGCAGTTTTACGGGGACTCCATTCAACTCTCGCCTTGTCTGTGTCAGCCATTGACAGCCTGGCAGGCACTTAGCGCACTGCGCAATGCATCGCACCCTCACAGCCAAGCCTGCTAGCGGTCCTTGCCGGCGGCAAATGGTAGGAGAGATGCCTGGCCCACGAGACACACACACACACACACG